GGAGCAACACACAAAAAGCATTGTAGTAACAGCAAGCCCAATAGATGCAGGAATGATTGATGATATCATCCAAGAGATCCTTAGATGGCCAGATCATGTACAATGGAGCAGTAAGCATAACAAGGAAGATCATATAGCTAGTAGTTTATTTGGAGCATCAAGCTCAGTTATTGCTAATTTGTGAAATTGCATAGACAGGCAGCGTGGTGTTGAGGAATCAGCAGCAGGAGCAGAACCCAAACATCTATTGTGGGCCCTGCTATGTTTGAAAGTATACGCCATGTTGGAAGAGATCCATTGTGTTTGCAGTGCTAGTATAGTAGACAGCTGGCCTCATAGGAAAACCTTTTGTATATGGTCATGGTATTTTGTTAGAAAGATCTTTGAGCTGCAAGAGCAAGTTATCATATGGGAGAATAGATTCCTTGGTCAACCTCAATCGCCAGCTGGGGAGTACTTGCCACAGGCAGATTGTATGATATCTATAGACTGGATGGACTGCCTATGGGCCATGAACCATATCTATTTAGTACTGACATGTATTCAGAGAAGTTCAATGGTCCAGCAATATGGTACAAAGTTGGAATTTGCATTGAAACCACCAGTTATATTGTCTGGATTAATGGTCCCTTCCCCAGTGGCACTTCTGAGAAAGGCATTTTTGATTCTGAGCTTGCAAAGAGGCTTGAGGACTGGGAAATGGTGGAAGCTGATAGTGGACTGAGGGGGACAATAAAGGGAAAGATCCCAAACTAGGGGAGCAACAGCAAGCAAAGAAAAGAAAAGTCAATCATTTGGGAAAGACACAAAAATGTGAATTAAAGACTGAAGATATTCAATGTACTGAATGCTTATTTCCATCACAGCACTGAAGGGAGGGACAGGAATAACATGATAGGAATGCACAGAATGTGCTTTGTAGCTGTGGCAGTAATATCTCAGCTGAAGCTTGAGGAAGAAGGGGGACTGTATCACATTGACTAGGACATCTGATACACATGAAAGCCTCAACAAAACAGCATAGATTTTATCTGGCAACAAAAGATACGCTTTGATCCAGTTCAAATTAGTGTTAGGGTGCAGTTGATGGTCTTGATTTACAGCTCAGCTAGTGTTTGTGTGTGAAAGAGGTAGCTTGGGTTTGGTAACCGCAAAACATGGTACACTTTCTACAAGGAGATAAAAACCAACTGATTTTGCCCAAATTGGACAGTAGAGCACTGGAGGCACTACAAGGTGATTCACAAACACTGGAAGACAGCCTTGTCCTTCTATAATAGAGCAAAAGTAAGTGCCGTTATTGAAGATGAACAACAGTTCTCGTAAGCTGGGGACTTTTTGCTGCTAAACAAAGATTGGAAACTAACTCGTAGTAATCCTATTACTTGTAGAGACTGAATCTTCTTGCTGAAGCCCTACACCAAGGAAACCACATGATTGAAAAGCCTTTGTACATTTGGGGCATTCCGAGGACGTCATCTACTGTTCTTGCAGGAAAAGCTACTGTTGAGTCCTCCTCTGTTTCTCTGGATCAATGTCCACCAGCAGCAACCACTCCTCCTCCTCCGCCAGCAGCCCCATTTTCATATCCAAAAAGAACTACACCAGTTTTCTCCTTCCCACCAACAACCACACTCTTCACTCTTTCCCCAGATCAAAAATGCGGCCAAGAGATGCCTGTTAGTGCTCCCGCCTTGTCCACAAAGAAGAAACAGTAGCAGCCTGCTAACATGTCTCTTGAAGATGGAGGTCATGTCTATATCTTGGGAAGCGCCTATCCTACTATCATATGAACTTGGGACTCACGGGACACAAATAATGACCATTCCTCTGATGAAAAGTATGAAGACCAGGTCTTCACCAAGATTCAAATGATTGTTCACAACACCATTCATGCAGATCTTATCATCCCAGAGTGGCTTGATCCCTTCAATCTTCAGCTAACCATTTGCTGGTCCAAGTGGTTCAAGAAGGTCTCTAGGCATCTTGCAATTCAAGAGGGACAAAAGCACCAGTTTGACAGTAARCATGCTGTCATTTGGACCATGAGTACTGATCCTAAATAGATCTACTAGTTTTCAGTTACTTTTTGGATCACATACAGTTCAATAAGCTTAAATAGCTAAACACAACAGCTCTGGGAAGAAGGCCTCTAATGAGATCCCCTTTGTGGGGGATAGTGGTATGCTCAGTCATATTAGTATTAAGAAGAGTGCTGTGTATCATTGTTGCATGATTAGAATCCAGGGGGGAGATGGTTCTCCATTAACAGCCAGTGTCACCAAATTTTGCTGTTTTCAGAGACCGCTTGTGTTTCAAAATAAGCCAGAACTCTATAAAAAGCAACTCTGCTACTAGTACTAGACTGCCAGACTAAGCACCCAGTCTAAGACATTGATATCATTACTGGGAGATCCAGGTCATTGGGAAGCCAATAGGACTATTAATGGTAAGTCCCTTAGTCGCAAATTATTGGCAATTCCCTGGGTGTCAATTTTTTCTCATTTTCCTGTCTTTATTTCCCCTCTCCCCCCCTCCACAAAAAAAATAACCCAAGTCGCAAAATATTTCTTACTGGTCCTTACTACTTGGAATATCAAATCAGCAGTGCTTATCTCCAGTATTAAGGACCACTAATAAAAATATGTTGGTACTAGCAAGAAATTAAACAATGGAAATATATTTATTTTTGTCTGTTGGATGCCTTTTTTACTGGTTTTAACTGTAAAAATGAGCTAAAAATTTCTATTAGTATTTGTATGGGGATTGCCAATAACTTGCGACTACGGGACTTACCATTAATAGCTCTAGAAGCCAAAGGATTCTCTAGCAGCTTAGAACTGGTCTGCCTAAGTTACAGTAGTGTTTGGCCCATAATTTTGGCTGTAATTTAACTCTGAATTAACTTGTATGTACATACCTTACACATCTTGCTCACTTTTCTCTGCAATATCCATCACTAATACTAGTAGCAGTAAGAAAGTACTTCTACTTGTAAGAAATAATGCTCATGAGGCACAAATTGCAAAAACCTTACTAGTAGTAGTAGTAGTAGTAGTAGTAGTAGTAGTAGTAGTAGTAGTAGTAGTAGTAGTAGTAGTAGTAGTAGTAGTAGTACTAGTACTAGTACTAGTACTAGTACTAGTAGTAGTAGTAGTAGTAGTGTGACGTAGTACTAGTAGTAGTAGTACTAGTAGTAGTACTAGTAGTACTAGTACTAGTAGTAGTACTAGTAGTACTAGTACTAGTAGTAATAGTACAAACCTCTAAATAACAAGAAGAAGAAGGTGAATCAAAGTAGTAGTGCTAGTAGTAGTACTACTAGTATCATTGTTTTTCTTCTTGTCACACAAACCAGATTAGGTGTAATTTTCATTTCATGCGGTCAGAACACTCAAACTTTCTGGTCCTACTACTGTTTCATTTTATTGAAGAATTGATAAATCAAACTTCTATTTTTTAAGAACATGCTTTCTTGATTTGGCACTCACCTAATCTCTGTCCCACCCAACCCAGTGATGCATTCCTGAAAATTAGTGCTTTTGGAACTGACAACATTTTTCTTTTCCTCATTGTTGCATTTCCTAACTGCTTCTGTACCCAAATAACTCTTCTCTCCCATGCATTGATAGTACTACTAGTAAACATGATTCCTCCAAAGCTCAAGGTTTTCTGTCAGAACTGCCACGGGTCTCAGGGTAGGAGGACCCAGTGTCCAATATTCTATTGCCAAACAGAACAAAAAAAACAGGAGCCTTTACATCTGCCAAACTTCTGACCCATCTTGCCAAGAGTCATACTACTATTTGTTTTGACTATTACTACACTCTTGCTGGGGATGGAGTTGATGATTTCAGCTCTTCTATCTGCTTACAAACTTACAAAGGAGAAGGAGGATGATAAATAGACAATTTTGCTCAACCACTACAAATCACAGACCCACAAGTGGAATCCCTCTGTTGAAGAAGTTGACCACAGCCAGATTGATTTTGAAATGAATGTTGTGGATTCTGATCTTGATGATGACATTTCCATCWTTGGTGCTGTCACCAAACACACATGACATAGCAGAGGTGAACACAATCACTACTTTGTTCAAGACAAGGTTTGTTTCTGCTCCAGCAAAAGTGAAAATAAAACTTATGAAGATCACGAGAGACCACAACATTCCATTGTTGCTGAGAGGGAGCTTTACAAATGGGCTCTTGAAGCAGAGACTTTATCTGGTTTTACCATTCTGACAAAAGGTTTTGGAGGAATGTTGCAAAGGTTTCTCCCAAACTACTGTTGTTAGTACTTGTATGAATACTACTACTAGCTAGTTGTACTACTACTAATGGTCGTACCAGTAGTAGTAGTAGGGTAGTAGCAGTATTACTAGTAGTAGTACTAGTAGTACTGGTACTAGTACTAGTACTAGTATTACTAGTACTAGTAGTACTGGTAGTAACAGTTCTGAGAAAGTGAAGATGCACAACAAACATTATTCTTAAATCAAATTACTAGTACTAGTAGCAGTAC